CGGCAAGGCGCGGGCCAAGGCCAAGTCCCGCTCTCCCAGGGCCGGGCTGCAGTTCCCGGTGGGCCGCGTGCACCGCCTGCTGCGCAAGGGCAACTACGCCGAGCGGGTCGGGGCCGGCGCGCCGGTCTACCTGGCGGCCGTGCTGGAGTACCTGACGGCCGAGATCCTGGAGCTGGCGGGCAACGCGGCGCGCGACAACAAGAAGACGCGCATCATCCCGCGCCACCTGCAGCTGGCCATCCGCAACGACGAGGAGCTCAACAAGCTGCTGGGCAAGGTGACGATCGCGCAGGGCGGCGTCCTGCCCAACATCCAGGCCGTGCTGCTGCCCAAGAAGACCGAGAGCCACCACAAGGCCAAGGGGAAGTAGTCTGGCGCGCGGTGAACCTGAAACCCTAAACTAAAAGGCTCTTTTCAGAGCCACCTACCGTGTCACCAAGAGAGTTGCCGCAGAGTTTTGTCTGGTAGTTGAGTCATTTTAAGAGTTGCAGTTTGAAGGCCAAGTAGGCAAAGCAAATTCTCAGTATCCGAATGAGGTACTTTAAATTAAACCTAACTGCAACTTCGTTCTTTCTGAAGTTGAACTTCTGAACAGGTCATAAAGCAGTATTTATGAGTGTAACTTGTCTATGAGGTGTCCCTGATGTGCTGGATTGAACGACCCCTTGGGTGAGATTAAGGACTCAAACGTTCGGTCTGCCCTCTCCTAACGAGTGGATCTTGCCAGCACGTGTGTACCAGGCACCCTGTGAGTGGGAACACAGGGTCAGCCCCGAATCGGAAGTCCAGGTCTTTAAGGAGTTTTAGATTGGCTTGAGTGGAAAATGCATTTCATTGCAAACTAGATAAGGGTCATCAAGAAGTGAAGATATGGGGGCATCAACAGCTAACGTGTATCAGACATGGGCGAGCCTGTACCTGCCCATGATTCTTAGTGTCCCCTTTCCATCAGGATGTTCCCTCACCTCACTACCCCAGCTAAGGGGACCTATTTCTTCCTAGCTAAAGAAGTCGCCATGGACTGTTTCCTGCTCCTCATGGAGACATTAAAGAAAATGAATTTCCCAAAGCATTTCTAGCCCATTGTAATCAATTTGTTTTCTCAGTCTCTTGAAACACATTTCCTGCATTCACATCCAAACGTAATGAGAAACAATATTCCTTAGACTGAAAGAGCTATGATGAAAATCTCAAATAGGAAATAAATATTACCTTTTCTTTTGTAAAAAGCATGATTTGATGTTAAAGGACATAAATCCTGATTCCAGTAAACCTATTCTTTTGTTTCCTAAGTCAAATGTGTTATTTGTAACTAGAAATATCCAGTAAATGATGCAGGTCTGGGGATGGCCTGTGAGTTCTTTAAAATGCGATAATAAAATATGCTGCAAGTCCTGCCACTGTGATTGTTATTGTAATTTATATAAAGACTATAAAACCAGTGAACCCATAGCCAAATAACTAAGAAATGAATGCACACTTTTATATTTCAAGAGAAATAAAATATAAAAGTGTAGTAATTTCACATATTGCATTTTAAAATTAATTTACTAATGCTTCAATTTCAATGGATTAAGCACCTACTTTTTTTTACATGATACATGAAGACGAACTATCTACATAAAGTGGAGAAACAATTGAAACTTATTTCAAAACTACAGATAAAACTTTCAAAAGTTTTGCTAAAATAATTGAGGTATTTATAATTGCAATTAGAACCTGAGCACTCTAGAACTCTCTACTGTCATGTTTTACAAGATCATTTCATAGGTGAGAAGGTTTCATTTTAGTGGCAGGAAATTTGTGAAAACATTACTGAAGCTTTTTCTTTCTAGAGTTCTCATGACCTTCACTCTCAGACTGGACAACCAGAAGAGCTCCTACGAGTGACTTCCTGTATGGGGTATCTAGGGTCCAGTGGTTTAGAGTCCTTTGGTGGCAACTGGATTTATTTGCACCCTCCTGGACTTTGGGTCAGTGACAAGCCCATGAACTGTGGTGAACAGACTGCATTCATATCCTCATGCCAGAAATTCTTATGAAGGAAATAAAAAGTTATATAAAAGTGTCAACAGAAATAACCAAGTAAACCAAGTCTGTAAAAATAATTTTTTTTTTTTTGGAGAGGTTTCTTGCTACAGGGTGCATGCACTCACCAGAAAGAGAGACAGAGAGACAGAAAGCGAGCAATCACCCCCCAGGGGGAATGGCCACAGCACAATCCTCTCTTCCATTCTTCTCTTGGGATCTTGGGCTCACACACACACATGCCCGGCATGAGTTTAAGCCACCAGTTCTGAGACCTGAATCACAGTCAACTACATGGGAGTCCAGTGACAGAGCCATTAGACCAACTGCTGGTCCCTAAAAATAATAATAAATGTGCTTTATTTCTGAGCAGAACATGAGTGACCTAGGCTGGGAGAGGAGGCACAACATGCCTTTTTCGGAGTGATCATGCACAGGGGTTCCTTTTATTTGATTTTGAGAGCGAGAGACAGAGTTTGGAATTTAGTGAAGTTTTTCTATTGGTCTGGTCCAAAAAGGTGGGACATGTGACGGGATAGCTTGTAGGTTATGGGTGGGTTTACAGTTTTTACGTTGGTGATTGGAAATGGTTGCTGAGATCAGAAAAGCATGTACTGTAACAGAGATGAGGAGGCTCAGTATACATCACAGAGATCCCATGCCCAGGCAGGATGCAGGAAGCCTCCTTTACCAATGGTTTAGAATGGTTGTTAATGTTTCTGGACCTAACTCCCTCTAGGCCCTCTGGAGAGTGTGGGAAACTGCACATCAGCGAGTCCGCCGAGGCCATTTTATGAGTCTTATACGATCGCCATTTTAAGGAAACCTTTAGGTTTCCATTTCTCAGCAAACAATCATACAACACCAAAAGCCACAATTAGCTCCCCTTCAAAACCACACTCTGATTGGCTACAAACCCATGGTGCTCACTGATTGGTGAGCCTAGAATCCCTCAGATTTGCATATTTAGCACCTTATGATTGGTCAATCTACAATCCTTCATTATTGACGGGGCCATGCAGACAACATAAGCTGGTAAAGAGGCTGTCTCCGATGTCTAAAGGCAAGGCCTGGGCTGGGAAGAAACTGCGAGACACAGCCGGCGGTTTACTAACCCTCCTTGTGTCTTTTTACTGGCCTGTAGTTAATTTCTCTGCCGTGAGCTTTACTGTTATTATGGTACCCTGCAAGGGTAAAGGGCCAGGGAACCTGAGACAGACTCTCCCACCTGCCTATTTTAAATTAAAATTAACATATGTTAAGTTGAGTTAGTATAAACCAAATTAGCTTTAGTAACATATGTAGACTAAGTTAGTTTAAGGCTAGTTTTACGTAAATACCCCTTGTTAAAGCTACAGGCCAAAGTTAACTTGTATTAGGCCAAATTAGCACAAGAATTCACTGATTAACAAAGAATGAATTCAGCAAATAAATACAGGGACCTGTGGGTTAATAGAGGAAGAACAGATCTAGCTAACAGAGACAAGATAAACAAACCTGAAGGCTCCAGGAGGAAGAGTAACTATCTTAGCTGAAAGTTCTTATCTGGTCTCAGGCAAGCAACGGATAGCACCTAATAGCAGTTTATCCCTGTGTGCTGTTAACTATGAAAAACTGCTAATAAAACACCCTGTGTTGTCTCCTGAGCTACAAGACCCTCTCACCCAAATAGGCTCTGTCCGGCAATCAAGATTAAAGAAGAAAATGCACCAGACAAATAGACTCCTTCATCCTGAGAACTGTAATTGATTATACCTAATCATACAAGACAGACATCATGTTTTATGATCATTCTTCCTGTGCCTTGAATTCTCTGTTTCGTAGAGTAAATCTTTTATTTCCTCCTCACCCCTCATACTCCTGTAAGACACCCCTCAATAAATACGTGTTTATGTAGCCACTAGCACAGCAGCCTGGAGCTAACTCTGGCTGTGGCCGGCTAAGAACATGCTAAGAGGCATTGAGGACTTAGTCTAATTTTGTTTCTGTTCACCTGCGCCGTCTCCGACGAGTCAACCCACCCCCGCCAAGGCTGGACCCCGGCACATTATCATATAAGGCAACCATTCATGGCCCACCAACATGTATATAAACCTGATCCTTGGCCCATAATACATGGACGATCCTGAAGAGTTGTAACACTGTCGTCTCTGTGCTGTTCGTCCCATCTCTCATTCCTTCCCTCAGGAAACCTGTTTGTCCTGCAGGTTGGGACAGGAAAGGATTTTTGACAAATAGGAAAAAGCAATGAGATTTCCATTTTTGAAAGCAAAAAAGAGGTTGAAAATCAAATGAAGATATAATTGTATGGATGCCTATGTGTAGTTTTACAGGACAAAGAGTCGTGTGATCAAAGCAGGCCAGGGGACAAGGCCACCTTGAGCCAGCTGGAAGATTATTATTGCCAGATCCCTTCCTTGCAGGACTCTGAAAACTGTCCTCCGTAACCTGGTCCCCCTGCTTCCTCCTGCAAACTACTCCTGGCCCATGTTTCAATAAACGTCACTGCTACTAATACATCTGAGCTGCCGGCTGTGAGCAGCAGCCCAAGTGTTGGTGGGTCAGGAAGTCGGGCCAAAGGAACCCTCGCCGAGGGTATGAAGGAGGGCCAAGGAATCAGGTAAACGTCTGCAATGTGTCCCAGGTTCTGAGGCTCCCAAACAATCCCTTTCTCTTTGTCCCGAAGGTTTTCTTTCTTTTCTTTATTTTTAATAACTATGTCCTCTTCTAGACTTCTGTCAATATATGATAGTATTTCAACTGTTCCCAGGGAAGGTTGGTGGTGTTCAAGGATAGGCTTTGGTGAGGTGGGAGTAGGACTGGGCCATTTGATGTGCTACTCTCTGATGTCACGAACTGCTAGGAAACTGAAGTTCAGAACAAGTCATCACAAAATATGCCAGATTCACTGTATATGGCTATTCTGAGCTAAAAGACATTGAGGACTAGCCAAAGCAGAGAAAACTCTTCATTACCCCCTCAATTGCCCAAAATAAAGAATAAATTTTCTCCTGTGTAAAAATAATTTTAATTAGTAAAAATGTCTCCCAGAAAGAGTGATCAGAAAGCATTTTTTATTTGTATAAGAAAGCAACTTTGGGTCAGCTGGTGGATGGTGGTTCAGGAGGCTAGACAGCAGACAGCAACGTTTGAAGCCTGATTCCTGTAGATTGAAAACATACTGAGCATGTGCGTGTGTGCCCAAAATCCAGAGAGGAGGGAAAGGGAGAAGGGATTGCGTGTGACCGTGCCCCATGGAGGGTGCCTTCTCATTTCCCATCTCTCTGCGGCCAGCACACTCTGGCTTAACTTTTTTTTTTAATGGTGACCTTTGCTCAGCATGCACTCTGAGCTCTCTCCTTGGCATAATTGGTACCTGTCACCCGCCAAAGCCTAGGCCCCATTCCTACCTGTAATTGAGGGCCATGTGTGTCTCAACCCTCTGCCCACCTCCTGGGCTCAGCTCAGGGCCGCCTGTGTGTGCGCACACTTACACACACTCTCCTGTTAATATGTCCTGTGTTCGTTTAATTCATAGACTAGAAAAGGAACTTAAAGGGTGGAAAGAAGCATTTTTCCCTCCCCTACTTTCTGGTTAAAAATTACTTCCAGACATCAGAAGGTCGCACAGAAGGATGCACTAGAGATGGGCACCACAGATGGCATAGCAGTTATGTCTCTGGATTCCCGAATCACCGACTAATGTGGTTCAAGTCTAACTAAGGTGGACCTGCGGTTGGAAAATCACACTGGGTACATGTGCACACCTGTCTACAATCCTGGGAGGAGAATGGAGGAAGGGATGGCAGCATAGCCATCCAGCCAGAGGTTGATTTCTCACTTACCCTCTCACGGTGTCTGTCTCTCTCTCTTTGGAGAGCAAACACTCTAAGGCAACCTCTTTAAAAAAAAAAAAAAAAAAACTTTTAAAAAAGGTACTAGATATTTAATTTGTTCTAGGCTAAGAAATGGGAAAGATGTTTTGAACAAAATAAATGTTCATAAAAATCTATAAATGCATGTTCATAGCAAAGTTTGACTTAATGTATAAGAAGATATTAAAATTAATTATTTCAATTAACATATTTCATATATAAATA